ACAGAACTTTTGTTCTACTTATAAATAAAGTTTCTACTATGGCATTATTTTACAAAAAAAAAAAAAAAAAAAAAAAATTATACATGTAGCTAGTTGTACTCTCACAATATGTATCATGTTCTATAACTATAAAACTAATAAAAGTTAAACTAATGATATTTGTATAAAAAAAAAAAAAAAATTTTACATGTAGCTAGTTGTACTCTCACAATATGTATCATGTTCTATAACTATAAAACTAATAAAAGTTAAACCAATGATATTTGTATAAAAAAAAAAAAAAAATTTTACTAAAACAGATTTAGGCTTTTTCTATTAACAAGCTCCCATATACTAAAAGCCTATACTCTTATTCTAATCTAGTTTACATAATTATTATATATAAGGTGTTATATAACATAGGTGTTATGAATATAATATTTCAAAAAATATATATATTTGCAAGCTAAGAGTGTTTCCAAGCGTCTAAATCAATCATTCCGATGAATAAACCTGGAGCTGCGACCACCAATTTTTTCATAAAGTTTGCTCTAATTGGCTAAAATTTAAAATCATCGTTACCAATTTGCTTCAATTAATGACAATGATTAAGCAACATCTCAAATCACATTGAGGGAGCTGCTTGAGAACGCTCTTAATATCCGCATTCCGCACCATTAGTCTTCTACAAAATTGCTACAATAAACGATCTCGAGGATAAGCTAATTTTAATTTCACTATATAATCTAATAATAAACTCCACGTGCATGGTTTCCTTATTTGAAATAGTTTCAATAAAAACAAGATCAGAGACCAGCAAGTATTGTTTAATACGTTTAAATAAAGAATTAAACATCTCTAGGTAATATTAATTCAAAACTTTTACTCCCCCGTCGACAACTATAATGTTTGTCTATAAAAGAGGTACTTATTTTTAAATAAATCGCGTTGATCTATTTTTACTGGTAATTTTTTTGCAACGCGACACTGAAGTTTTTGACGCGTAAAAAATAATTTTATAACGGGTAGATGGTCGTAAAGAACGCGTTGCGTTTGATAAGGTCTGTAAAATTAAAATATGAGCATCTAATCAAGTTTAATATGAACTTATAATTGCTGGCAAGATCTTCACTATTATAAAAATTAGTATATCCGGGTGTCATAAATCCCAAACTCGTCAAATTCATATTTTAAATAATCTTTACTCAAAATAGATATCATATATTCTTATAATTGTGTATAATATATTGGCAAAATTTCAAGACTATTCATTAATTCAATTATTATGAATAGCAATTGGTTTTTTTGGGTTTAAGATTTGCCAGGTTTTGCCAGCAAGTATATATGAACTCTATATGCTAAATTTTTTCTTGGCTTTAGATCACAGCACGTATTAATAAGCTTTGTTATGGCCTTGATTTAAACTTCGTTGATCCAGTAGCTGTCACTCAAAAGGTTTGTTATTAATACAGTTTTACATACAATAAAATTAATAGATTGATAAAGTTATAATAATTAATGATTAGAATTGCATTATTTAATATTAACCAATTCTCCGCCATTCAATTACTGGATTATTAATTATTAAAGTTTGGTTTGGGTTGATTGTGATTAAATCTAGTCTTGAGTTGTTAATTATTTTTTCCATAACTTTGTCAATCTATTAATTTTGTACTCAGTCTATTTGTAATACAAGTTTATTTGATAATTCTTAAAATCGATAAGGTCATTTCCGGTGTTTATCAAGGCGTTAGTACCGTCGAATTGGACAATTTAGCAGCGGAGACGGCAGCCTATATGACAACAAAGCATCCTGATTATGCCATTCTAGCTGCGCGTATTGCAATCTCTAATCTTCATAAAGAGACAAAGAAAGCTTTTTCTACAGTTATTGATGACCTTTATAATTATGTAAATCCAAAAACTGGAGCACGTGCTCCAATGATCTCTGAAACAACTTATAATATCATCATGAAAAATTCACAAAAACTTAATTCTACTATCATTTATGATAGAGATTATAAGTATAACTATTTTGGTTTCAAGACGCTTGAAAGATCTTATCTTTTGCGAATTGATGGAAAAGTTGCTGAAAGGCCGCAACACATGCTCATGCGCGTGTCTGTTGGTATTCATGGAGAAGATATAGATGCAGCAGTCGAAACTTACAATTTAATGTCTGAAAAATATTTTACTCATGCATCACCGACACTTTTTAATGCTGGAACTCCACGACCTCAACTTTCAAGTTGTTTCCTTCTGACAATGAAAGATGATTCCATTGAAGGCATCTATGATACGTTAAAGACGTGTGCCATGATCTCAAAAACAGCTGGTGGCATTGGTTTGAATATACATAATATTCGTTCCTCTGGATCTTACATTGCGGGAACTAATGGTTATTCAAATGGTATCATTCCCATGCTTCGTGTATATAATAATACTGCACGATACGTTGATCAAGGAGGGAATAAACGTCCCGGTGCGTTTGCTGTCTATTTGGAAACATGGCATCCAGATGTTTTCGATTTTTTGGATTTAAAGAAGAATACTGGTAAAGAGGAAGTACGAGCACGAGATTTATTTTATGCACTTTGGATTTCTGACTTATTTATGAGACGGGTTGAATCTGATGATCTTTGGAGTCTTTTTGACCCAGCAGAGGCACCTGGACTTATGGATGTTTGGGGAGATGAATTTGAGGTAAGATCATCAATATAATATAAAATAATTGTGGCAACTTATGATAAAATTGGCTGATGCTGAAATTTCGAGTTCCCATTATTTCCATAAAATCCACATAGGATTAACAACTTAACCCTGCCCTAAAATTTTTAAATTTTCCTATTAAAATAGGTCAAATTTCTGCACCAGCCTCTACAATAATTAATTATACATGTGAATCATTTTTTTTTTGTTATATAAAATTTAGAAATTATATGAAGATTATGAACGTCAAGGCCTGGCACGTAAAGTCGTTAAAGCCCAAAAAGTATGGTCTGCAATATTAGAATCACAAATCGAAACGGGTACACCGTATATGCTCTATAAAGATTCTTGCAATCGCAAATCTAACCAGCAGAACCTCGGAACGATCAAATGTAGCAATTTATGCACTGAGATTATCGAATATTCTAGCTGTGATGAGGTAGCTGTGTGTAATTTAGCAAGCATAGCTTTACCAATGTTTGTTAAGAATAAAGATACCTATGATTTCGAACAATTGCATGAGGTC